TTCTGGTAATTCGTGTGGAACTAATAATGAGCCAGTAAAAATACGATGTTTTTGGTGAAATACAAATCTCATTTGAATATATTTTGAATAATGTTTAATAATTTGTTGAAAAGCATAATAAGCATTTAACTGTTGTGGGGTATTAACTATTCGATTAATTTTTGGAAGAAATGCATCCAAATAACCCCCAAGTAATTGAGAAGAACCATCTCGAAGAACACGGTGTAAAGTCACTAAAGATTTGTATTGCTGTAATGGATTAAATGATAAAATCCATTTTGCTAATTCTGAATAAAATGAAGGAACACCTCCTGAAAAACTTTTGACGACAATTGTTCGAATGTGTTTAGGTTTAGGAGGACAGTTAGAAGTATTGCAAGCTTTTCTAGTTGCTAATTTAACTTTATAATCAACAAATTGCATTGATAATTAGTTCATAGAGTGAAACATTTAAAGCTAAATCCCTTGGTAACTTATCATAAAAAAGATCTGGAGATTGTAACTTACGGACAATACAGTTTATATTGCAAAATTCAATAACTATAGAAAATTCAATTTTAAGTTTTAAAAAAAAGTAAAAACAAAAATTCAAAGAAAAGACAAAAAAAAAATAAGATATAATAGTTTCAATGTCTCTAAAGAATACATCTTCTCCTCTACCTGATCCTTCTTCTAAGTTATCACTTTTGGTAGAGACATTAGAATCAATTCATTATAGAAGTAAAGATGATATAGTATATCAAGCATCAAAAGTATTTCTTGAAAACATATCTTCATTAGAGGATCCTTTATTAGTCTTATCTCCTCTAAACCAAAATTTATTTGTTCAATTGTTGGATGCTATTTTTAAGAGTAAAGATAGAAATAAGTTATTATCCATTTTTGTTCCATTGATAACACCAGATTTAATGACTTCAGAAACGTTATCATTAGTATGTTCATCTATGTTATCTGTTCTTCCATTTTCTTCTACAGGAAAAGATTCTTTATTACCTATTGTTTTAACTTCTTTTACAAATCTTTCTCGTTGTAGATTACATGATGAAGTATATTCACTTCTTATTTCATGTTTATTTGACCTTCATGTAATACTCCTTCCAAATGCTCCAGAAGCTCAACGAGTAAAAGACTTAATTCAAACCTTCATTGATGTTTCACCACAAACTCCAATGTATTCTAATGGGATTCCACCCGTTGTTACATTATTAACAACGTCAGCAAAATATTCTACTGATGATTGGTGTTCACCAGATGCTGTTCATGTTAAAAGTGACAATAAATATATGACATCAGTAAACTTTAGTTCTCGTATAAGAAGTGATATAGAAAAACATAGAGAAGAAAAAATAAAATTTGTTAAAACACTTTCTAATGAAAATCAAAAATATTTTAATTCAAGAGCTCATGCCCATGCAGTTAAATGTATTTTATTAATATTTACAATTGCTGATCATCATATATTACAACAATATGACGATTGGAAGAAACCATTGATTGATTGTTTAATTGCTAATGGATTTACAACAGAACCACAAAAATATATTCCAACATTAAAAATATTTATTGAAGTAATGTCTTCACCAATACTTCATGTAAAAGGATTATCAGTTATTTTTGAACGATTATATTTATTTATACTTAACTCTTCACTATCTACTCCTCAACAAAAACAATTAACATTAGAAATGTTAGTATCTTTAACAGAAAAACAAGAATGCATTATATCAATGTTTCAATTATATGATTGTAGTATTGTTGCACCAAATGTTATTAGGTCATTAGTTAAAACATTATCTGATGTAGTTTATGGAAAAATAAAATCAATAGAAAAATTTGTTAGTAAACAATTTGATACTGATAATCGTATGAGAGCATTAAAATGTATATTAAATATTATTGATAATATCTCAACTATTCAAATTAATTATTCGTCTCTTCCTTCTACTATTGAACAACGTATGGAAAGAAAAGTATTATTAGAAAATGGATTCCCATTATTTGCCAACAACCCAAAAGATGGAGTTGAGTATTTTGTTTCAAATAAATTTTGTGAAAACTCTTCCCGTTCTATTGCTGACTTTTTATTAAGTACTCAAGGATTAGATAAACGTCGAGTGACAGAATATATATCTAATTTAGGTAATGATGGAAATGATGCATTAAATAAATTAATAAAAGAAATAGATTTTAGTGGGGAAAGATTTGATGATGCTCTTCAGAGAATGTTTTTGATGTTTTGTGCTCCAGGAGAAGTTCAAATAGTAGATAATATTATTGAACGTTTTTCTGTTAGATATGCTGAATGTAATGCTGCATTAAATATGACTCCAGAACAAATTTATTTATTAGCTACATCAGTAATGTGTGTTGCTCTTGATACAAAAACAAAACGAATTACTTTTAAACAATTTAGTGAAATGATTGGTAATGTAGGAAATATTAATATTGATATTAAAGGATTGTTTCAACGAGCAGCTAGTGGTTCATTTGCACTTGCTGAATGTTTAACAGGAATAGACTCAAATATTGTAAATGATCTTGAAGTTAAAGAAAGAGTATTAAGAACATTATCAGGAATTGATGCAAATATGATTAGAATATATCAAACAAAAGAAGAAGGTAAATTAGAAAATTCTATTGATGTGATTAAAGCATTTATTAAAAGTACATTGATTTCATGTACTGATATTTGTAGATATTTATTTTTTAATGAAGAGACAGGTGATTTTGTTGAGAATTCATTAAGAGGAATGCAAAAATTAATTCATATAACTGCTTATTGTGGTATGTCAGAATGTGATGACCTTACTTCTGATATCTCATTATGGACAATGCTTCTTTCTCCTGAAGAAATGACTCCTAAGCATGTTCTTGCAATTAGGTATATAATTAATATATGTAAAGAAGAAGGTCCATTATTAAAAAATGCATGGTTATCATGTCTAAAAGTAATAAGTCATTTAGATAATCTTGGATTAATGCCAAAACCATATGGAGATGTTTCTGAAGTAAAAGTTATGCCAAAACCACAACATCAAATTTATTATCCAGAATATCTTGGTATATTTACATTTGTTAATAATGGTCTTCGTGTTGCAAATAAAAAATTTGACCAAAAAACTCTTACTACTTTAAAACAATTACTTCAAAAACATTTGTCTGTTATCAATGATATATTCATTAAAGAGGCTGTTGCACCAAATGAAAATTTCTTATGCTTCTTAAACTCTTTAAAAACTGTTATTATGACAGAGATTAACACATTATCTCCTCAATACTTTTTGTTTAATATTCTTATTCAAATATTATTAATGATAGTTGGTAGAGAACAAAATATTATTAGTCAAGCATTAATTATTGCATGTGATATTTATGTAAGAGCTGGACTTCATCCACACTGTGTTCTTGCAAAACAAGCAGTTAAAGCATTAGGACTTTTACAATCAAAATTTCCACAGAATGATATTATTTTAAATTCTTTAATGATTATTATGGCAGACTCTGCTGTACCACAAGTAAGAGATGCAATAATAGAAACAATAGAATCTATTTTAGATGGCTATAAACCATCTCAAAAAATGAACTGGAAAGCTATTATTAATATTTTAAATTTAGCAGCACTAGACTCATCTCCTAATATTATTATTAGAGGATTTTCTTCATTTAGATTATTAACAATTAAAACATTTGATGAAGAAACACAATATCTAATTACAAAAGGACTTCAACTATATTCAAAAAATTGTTCTAATGAAAAAATGACACGAGACCTTGTTGCACTTGCAAATAGTTATTTGCAAGAAAAAAAACAATTAACAGAAGTTATGTATATTTGGGGAGGAATTATTGGATCAAATTATGTTGAATGTTCAGTTGAAGCAATGAAATATTTATTAATTCAATTAGAAAGTAATAAGTCAGAAATGACTTGGAACGTTGTTTATACACAAATAGTTCCTCTAATATATAATAATATTGAAAAAAAAGATAAAGAATGGATAACAACTGTTGGAATGACATTTGCTCTTAATCTTTCTTCATTTATTGCAAATAAAAAAGTTCCAATTAGATATATCGAAGTAGAATTAATGATTTGTCATATACTTTGTTGTTCTCCACTTCATTTTGGTATTTCTGTTTCTGGACTATTAGTTCAAGACATTATTGAAGTAGTTTCTCATCACGACAATTGTTGTGATGGATTCAAATTAATTATGGAACTTGTTCATAGTCATATTGCTGCAGTAGTCTTGAAAAAAGTTAATTTAAGAGTTAAAACATCTAAATCTAGTAAAGAGATGATTGGAATTATTAAGTGTTCAGCATGTAATAAAGAATTTAGTTCACATTTAGCATTTATATGTCCATATTGTAAAGAGCATTATTATTGTAGTTTAGAGTGTCAAAAGAAAAAAGAAATAAACCACCTTCCACAACCAATTGTCAATCATTATGAAACATTCCAACCTACAGATAATAAAACGTTATTAACCTGTGACCTTAAAATATTTATTGTATTAAAAGAAATGGTTCATGACATTGCATCTCATGAAAAATCTGATGAAATGCTTCAATCTTTACAATCAGTAATAGATGAGTATTCTTCAGTTTATAATGACATAGAAAAAACAAGTTATATTGAATGTTTTGGGTTAGTCGTAGATGCAGCAATAGATTGTTTTATTTCTTTATCAATAGAGTCTTCTCAATTTACAATGATTAACTTATTATTTAAAATGACAGATAAAGTTATATCAGTAGTTTGTGATAAATTACTTCAAGAACATACAACTATAGTTTGTTTTATTTTTTTTTCAATTTAACTCATATAGTTATTAACTTCTGTAGTTAAACCAAATGAAATCTTCTCTAAATCTTTCTGTATTACCAAACACTTCCCAAGCTAAAAAATTAAAACTTCGATTTGACTCGTTATAACAATGTTATGACTAAATTTTCATAATGAAATTAATTAATTTATTAAATTAAATAAAAAAAAGAGTTTTATTAAAGCAAAAGAGATGAATTTCAATGAATTCATTGAACAACAAGTTCTACAGTAATGTCATTAAAATCTTCATGTTTTAAAGCAGTAATAACAGCATTACGTATAGTGTCAGAATTAGCTTCTGGAACAATAGAAATAACTGTTGTAACAACTAAACAACTTTCAGAAAATTCCCATAAATTTAACTTAATAACATCTTTAACACCAGCAATTTGAATGAGTTTAGATTTAATTAAATCATCATCATATCCTTTAGGAACTGATTGTAATAACATTGAAGCAGAATTCTTTAACAGTGGAAGTACACTACAAAAAATCATTGCTGAAAGACATAATGAACAAATAGGATCAGAAATAAGCCACCCAAAATATTCTACTAAATAAGACGAAATAATAACTCCAACTGAACCTAATGTATCAGAAAGAACATGTAAAAATATACCTTCCATATTATTATCTTTTGCTTTCTTTTTCTTTGGTTGATTTAAATGTATTGGACAATTACAATTTGAAATTTCTATATCTTCATCAGTATCACGAAAAGCGAAGACACCAATGATATTAACTAATAACCCAAGGAAACTTACCATCAATAATGCGTCAACTTTAATATCCGATGGATGGATTAAACGATGAATACTTTCTAATAAAACAAAAAATGCAATATATACCAAGAACAATGCATTAACGAATCCAGACAATGTCTCTGATCTACCATATCCATAAGTAAATAATCTGTCTGGAGCCCATCGCGCTATAACAGTAGCTACCAATCCCATTGCCAATGCCACACAATCAAATAACATATGAAATCCATCAGATATTAATCCTAATGATCCACTCCACCATCCATAAGCAACTTCAACAAACATAAAAGCTAAATTTATTAAGAAATAATAAAATAATTTTCTACTCTTTGGATGACCAAGTGTTTGTTGTAATCCACGAGTAAATAATACCTTTAATGGAATATTAATTCTCATCATTCCTGAAGAACCACCAATTGAAAACAATTGCATATCATTATTTGTGGGTAAGGAAATATACCATAAAGGAATAATCACTAATATTGGTAATAAAGAAGTTCCTCGAAGGAAATTGGATATTATACATGTTATGACAATAGAGACGTGACGGTATTGTGGGTCATGAGATAATGGAATATGAACAAGGAATGATACTATAATTGATAAAATTGGAGGAATATATCCATTAATTACTTTAACTGGTAAAAAGTAAACAATTACACATAATGGCAATAACACCAATGACTGATTTAATGGAGTTGTTTGTCTTTTTCTTAATACATATTGAAATGGAATACATATTAATGGAACAATACTCCACCAACTTAAAGAAGAGAGATGAAGAATGATATGAAGGATCAATAGTGTTGGAGATGTTATAGGTAATAACGTAGCAAGTGAGGTTGAGGCATGAACCATTAATGAAAGAGTTGATAAAAAGAAATGTATCAATTGGAGGTAAACAGTTCCGTTGTGATTTGTAAATAATAGTTTGTAATTATTAATATTAAATTGGGACAAAAACGTTTGAAGTGAAATTGAAATAAAAAGTATTGTTGGAGAAATAAATATTTCATTATTTAAACAACACAAACATATCATGAATTGAAATAAAGGAATAGGACTAGGAATCATTACTATTTTACTTCACTTTAGTATTTTTTGTTTTTTCTTTTAATTTTTTTTTAAGTTCTTCTACAATAAAGATATTCTTTTAAAACAATTACCAAAATTATTATTTACTATTCTATTTATTAATTATTAATTTAATGAAAGAAAAATATCAATTTTCAATTAAATCATATTTTGAAGGAATTGGTTCTTGCTCTAAATGTTTAGAGACAAATTTAAAAACAGATTTGGGAATTGAATTTGGGTTAGAATTTCCTGGTTTAAATTCTTGTAATATTTTCAGTAATAAATTGTATTTAACAGTTGGAAATACCTCTTCTTTTAACTTCATAAGATCGACGTTTAATGGCATTGTCAGTAAACGAGATACCTCAATAATAGGGATAAATTCTTCTCTATATTTTCTTAATACAGTAACTTGGTCCATTTCATTCTGAATACAAATCCCAAAATAGTTTAATTGAAATCCTTTTGAACCATCGACATTATGCGAATCTACAATTCCTTCAAAAATAGAATAGATAGAGAAATGGAACAATTGTCTAATAAAAGAATTAGCATATGTTGAACTAATCTGACAGACTGACTCATATACAGATGATATAAAACGAACATAAGCTGTAGCAATTCCTTCTTCAAAATTAGATTTTGTAGAATCAAATGCTGTAGATAAAATTAAATTTTTTAACATTCCTTCGACACGTTCTTGAACTAATTTTGTTAGTCGCTTCTTTGCATCTTTTAATATCTTTTCAATTTGTAACTTACATTGACTTTCGATATTATTCTCTTCTTCATATCCAAATTTAATTACTTTGAATGTTTCCATAATTTTGATTAACCAAACACAATCAATCCAATCTTCCATACTAATTGGAATAATATTTAGTTCAATATGGGCGTCATTATCACTCCACCATTTCTTTAATAATTCAATAAAATTATCAGTACAATAAAAATCTCCTTTCATATTTTTTAAAGAATCAAAAATTTCTTGAAGATCAATTGGTCCAGATGATGGAGGGTATGTAACAACCATTAGTTGTTCATCAGTTTCATCGTCAATATCATTTACCATGTCTTCAAGAGTTCGTGGAACTTCAATATCATTACCAACCTTTTTTGATATTAATTTTTCTTCTTCTTCTTCTGATTCAGTTTGTTTAAATCTTACCATTTTAACTTTCTTTTCATCTGAATTATTAGCATACGTTATGTCAGTAAGTGTATTTTTATTCCATATCGTTAAATGACATTCAAATGAAAAATCACTTTTCTCAGCTTTAATTTTAATATTTATCTCACGTTTAATTTTAACAGTTGTAAATGGAGACAAATCAACAAATCCAGTTCCAAAAATTATTTCTTTCTTTTTTTTTTGATTGGTTATGTTTTGTATTAATGTAAATTTTAAATTTTGTTTTGTAATTTTTGTTCCATATAGTTTCACTTCATTACAGAGAACTTCTATTATATCATTCTCAGTTCCAGTGATTGTTCTATTTGAACATTTCAAATTTTCAATCACACCTTTCATACTTGAAAATGACCACTTCAATAAAAAATCTCCGTCATCACTAGGAACATTCTTAAGGTAATTAATTTGAACTTCCATAACACATTTATTTTGTCCTTTCTTCATAACAAGATTGATTTATTCATTTCAAGATAGTTTTATCTCTTTTCGTTTTGGAATCTCATTTTTAAAGAGTCAAAAGGAATCACACAAAAAATAATAGAATAAAATGATATTAAAAATGTATAAAAAACACAAAATTATAAAGAATTAAGAAAGAACTAAAAAGGAATAATAAAAGAATTAAAAAAATTAAAAGAAGAAAAAAAATTAGGTAAGAACCCTACTAAAACTAAAAAGTAGCAAACTGATCGGAATCAATGGCTGATATCAAGAAAGACATTAAAGCACCAGTCACCCCAAAAGTCTACAAGAACATTACAATTACCATTACTTCTACTAAGGTTAAAGCTGTTGAAAATCTTTGTGCTGAAGTTAAAGAAAATGGAAAGAAGAAAGGTGTTCAAGTTAAAGGTCCAGTCAGAATCCCAACTAAAATTCTTAGAATCACCACTAGAAAGACTCCATGTGGTGAAGGTTCAAAAACCTGGGATCATTATCAAATGAGAATTTATAAGAGAGTTTTGTCTATGAAAACTACTCCAGAAACTGTTAAAGAAATTGTTTGTTAATTATTTTTAGTCATCTTATTTATTACATGTGTATTAATAATTTAGACTTCTCTCAAAGTTGAACCAGGAGTAGAACTTGAAGTTGCCATGTTCGATTAAGTAATCGGTTCTGATTAGTTGTTTTTTGGTTTTCTTTCTTTTTTTAAAGTAATTTTATGTAATACTTTTTAATAAAAAAAACAAAGTAAATAAACTGGTGGTGTAAAAGTTAGTGGAAAATTCTTTAAAAAGAAAGCTGAAAAGAAAAAATGAACTAATATTTTGTATTTCATTATTCTACTTAATGAGTGAAGGAAACACATATCAATTTAAAATAGTTTTACTAGGAGATAGTAGTGTTGGTAAATCTAGTATTGTCCTAAGGGTATGTAAAGATGAATATAAAGAATTCCAAGAAAATACTATTGGTGCAGCGTTTTTAACAAAAACTCTTATTGTTGATGGAGATACTATAAAATTTGAAATTTGGGATACTGCTGGACAAGAAAGATATCATTCACTAACTCCAATGTATTATCGTGGAAGTAATGCTGCATTAGTTGTTTATGATATTACTTCAGATGTTTGTTTTCCATTTTTGATATTTAAACAAAATAAAACAGGATGGATAGACTAATAAAAATTTAGTCTTCTTTTACTCAAGCAAAAAAATGGATAGATGAATTAAGGGGATCAGGTAATGAAGCTATTATCTTCTTAGTGGGTAATAAATGTGATTTGGCTGATTCTCGTGTTATTACAAAAGAAGAAGCAGAAGGTTATGCTCGTAGTTTATCTATAGATTACATTGAAACATCAGCAAAAGCAAATATTAATGTTAATGAACTATTTGATCAAATCGCAAGAAAATTACCAAGAAATGAAAAAGGTTTGATTGATCCAGATGAGGTTCTTATTTCAAACAATAAAACTGATAACAAAAAAGGCTGTTGCTGAATATCTTAAATAAATGAATTTTTGCTTATTCAATTACTTTTTTCTTTCTATTAGTTATATAACAATTTTATATGAAATAAAATTTTCATGATGATTAAACCTAAATATTTAATATAGTTTTTAATTAATAATATTAACTATTATAATTATTCAATCACAAAAATCAATCTTTATTAGTTAATACACTTAACTTTATTGTAATGGACCTTCAGAAGGAAGACAACCAAGTTCATAAGATTCGGCTTCAGGTATTGGACATTCAGTTGGCGTTATGTTAGGTTGTTGTGATATAATCACACCTAAATAATCAGGACCAAAAACTACTATTACTTATTAATAATGATATTAGAATTATATTTAATATAAACAAACTTGAGCTGAGTGGTGTTGAGCATGAAATGGGAGTTGTTTTTCCATTCAGTTGAAATTTAATTTGATGAAATGGTTTTGGATTGGGTGTTGATTTACAGTAATACTTTTTTTTTGGAGGGTTACTTAAAGGGATATTTGGGTCATCATAAACTTGTTGTTTCAGTTGTATTAATTCAAGGTATCGTTCATGGTATTGATTTCTTTCAAAAGAAGTTTTAGAAGGGTCTTTCATTGATTCGTCTATTCTTTTTATTTCACCTTCTATTCTTTGTAACTAGGTAATTAGTATTCAGTTTGATTATGGTTAGTACTTTTATATTCAAACCTTCCTATGTGGCCAGCGTTTAATACCTAAATCCCTACATAGTTTTTTAACTGATGTAGCTGACATGCCTACAATACGAGCAACCTCTTGTAATGGCCTATTATAATTATTTTTTAGAACGATTGCAATTTCTTTTGCAGACTTTTTAGTGTCAGAAGAATCTAAGAGCTGAATTAATTCTAGTGTTGAGAGGAATTCAATTACTCATGACAAAAGAAGAGTAAAACAGAAAACAAACAATGAACGTATTCAGTTGGTAGTGACTCACTTGACATTCTAATTCTTCTTGATAAAACTGGCTTAAATTCTCTAATAAGATAATATCTTATCACAACTCACAATGGACGGTCAAGAATATTTTTCTTTTTTTTTCATTTTATTATCAAAAACAAAAAATTTTTGTAATAAAAAGCACAAATAAAACCTAATATCAAAAAGATAAAAGTCAGGAGGGAACTTGAAAAAATAAATAAGATATGAACTGGTTAGGGTTATATTTAAGAGATTTAAAAAACTTATATTTCATCACTTAACCTTACACAATGGAAAGAAGAAGATATGGCAATAAATCATTCTCAAATTCAAGAAGATATAGAAATAATAATCAAAGAATTAATGGAGATTCAATGCCACCAAGAAGAGATAAAAATGATAGAGAAACACCAGCACCTCAATATGTCAAAGTTCGAGTAACAAATCTTGGACCAAAGGTGACTGAAGAAGATATTAATGTTTGTGATCTTTTCTTTTGAAATGAAAATGAAAGATATAGTTGTCGTTCAATTTAATAAGATATGGTGATATTCTTTTTAAAGAAAATAATAAGTAAAAAGTACCATGATCAAGTAATTATGGTTTAAGAAATTGATTACTTTATTGAACGGATAAAGAGAAATTGAATATTTTTAATAATATTAACGTTGTATTAATGAAAAAATAAAATAGTAATTGATATAATAGAAATTATGCTCTATGAATCAAGTAGAACCATTAAAAGCCTTTTTAAAAGCACAACAAGATGGAAGTAATATTGCCACAGTTCTTTTTAAAACAGAAGAAGATGCTAACAAAATTATTAATGCATACAAAAATGTAGAATTTGATGGTAAATTAATGAATTTTGAAATTATTTCAACAAAAAGCCACCAAGGACATCACAATGATAGGAGAAGACGTTTACATGATGGAAGAAATAGACAAAGACGATTTGGAGGTATGAGACGAGGATTTAGAAATAGTTTGATTGATAATGTTACAAGAGAGATTATTAGAAGAGAACGTATGTATGAACAAAATCTATCAGGAAAAAGAGGAAGGTTTGATGGTAGAAGAGGATTAAGTCGTATTGGTAGAAGACATATGAACCACAGTAATAGAAGAAATGATAATAGAATAAAAAGAAATACAAATGAAAGAAGACAACCAAGAATGTCTTATGAAAAGAGATTGGAGAATATGAATTCCAAATTAGAAGCTTATATGAAGTCATAATGGAATAACGTTGATTTTATTTTTAATAATTTGTTTAATTATTTTAAGTTATCTTAAGAGTATTAATAAAGAAAATAAAAAATAATAATAATTTACTATTATATAATAATATTTCATTTCTTTTTATTTTATTTAGAAAGTGATTATTTGGTTATATCGTTTTCTTCTTTATAGATTTTATTGTTTGTTTCTTTCTTATTCAACTTTTATAATTTTGATTCGTCTAACCTTTTATTATGTATTTGAATTATTTAACACTAAATAAAAATTGTTATCTTTGCTGAAATAATTTAAAAATATTGGGCATTGAAAAAATATTATTTAATATTGAAACAAAATTTGAGTTATTTATTCACTGTACTAATATTTATTTCTTAATAAAAGTATTATTTGGTTTATTGTATCAATTATTAATAGGTACTTCAATAACTCTATTACCAAAAAACTTATATTAAATTTTACAAACAATTCATATCAAAGAATTTATGACTTAGCCAATAAATCAAATTGTTATATTTATTAAAGTTATTGGTTTAATGTGTATATGTCATATTTAGACTAGTACTATATTATATAAAGATGAGTCACTATTTTAAGATATCTCTAGCCTTATTATAAATACGATATTTCTATAACACTCACTTCAAACATACTTTGTTGTTCATTTACTCATTTTTCATTAAGTTTACATAACACCTTTTGAGTTTAAATATTTTTCGTCTTTGTTATTAAATTGGGTTAATGTACAAGAAAGAAATATATAAGACTCAACCACATCACGTCACCATCTTTTATTATTGTAATGAAAAAGTTATTCGTTTTTGGCTTATTTCTCTTATAAGTTCATCACTAGACACATTATTTTTCATAACCATCAACATCTATGCTCTTTCTTGAATCGTATAAGAGGAAAGTTGATGTTTTTTAAATTGTTTCATAATAAGTTAATACCTTATTCTGTTTTTATTTTTGTAGATGTTCTGTTAGAATGTGTTAATAAAAAGACCAAACACCGCATGTATTTCTTGTTATTGATGAGTTAAAGATATTATTCTTAAAAAATAATTAGTTAGAAAAACAATTATTTCTTTTTATAAATTTTTTTGTTATTTTATCTATCAATGGATAATTTTTATCTATTTTATAAGATATAAAAATAAGATTTTAAATTAAAACCTCATACAAGTGACTAAGTAGAACTTAAAATATAGAAATTATTACAAAGAAAATGGATAGGTGTGATCATGGACCGAATGTGAGATGTTTAAAATGTATGGCAAGAGACGCACAAAAAGCGGCTGAATTAAAAAAGAAAGAATCGAATAAAACAGCACAAAATCCAAATAGTTCTAGAAAATTATCATCATCACCTTCACAAGTAGGTGAAGGGGAAAAGGTCTATACCATTGGGGGTGGAGTCAAGAAAAACGCAGTAACTCATTTCAGTTCTGGAGTCTATAGACTTGGTGATGGTGGACCAATTAAACCAGCAACGCAAACTGCGAAAGGAAAACCAGTTAAATGGCTTTGTAATCATCCTCCAGGACAAAAGTGTAGTAATTGTTTATGTCCAAAAGGAGCAGCCAATGTTAAAAGGCAATGCAATCATCCACCAACAATGAAATGTCCTAATTGTATAGCTCCAGAAGAAGTTAAACATAATCAACCACAACAACCTCGAATTTATTTTCCAGCTACATGTCCTAACCATGGTCCACATGGATGTTGTACACTATGTCTTGCAAAATGGGATTATGAAAAAATTCGAATTCAAAAGCAAGATGCAGTATGTAAATTATGTCGTATGAACTTTATGGAAACAGATAATTTTCAAAGATATGTATCTCAAAGAAGTTTTTATGTTAATAGAATTGGTATATTATATGGAATATTTAAAGAAGACAGAGTACAAGTAGAAGCCATTTATGAACCACCTCAAGTTATTAACGAAGAAGGAGATTTTGAAATGAAACAAGAACAAACTCTTTTGCAAGTACAACAGATGGCAATTGAACTTGGATTAGAACGTGTTGGTATTATTTTTTCACATGCAAGAAGAGAAGAAATTTTAACAAGTCGAGAAATTATTGCAGCAGCACAACGACAATTAGAATGGGATAAAAGGTGTGTAACAGTTGTTGTAACACCAAATGAAACAGGAATTGAATCTAAAGTAGAATGTTATCAAGCATCGGAACAATTAATGGAATTAGTTAAAAAAGCAATAGTACAACCTAGTCAACCAAAAAATAATGAAATTAATTTAAAAGAATCAGTTTATTTATCACAAAAAGAAATTATGACTGTTGATCCAGTAGTTTTTGTTTGTAATGTTCCAATTCGTGCGTTTAAAGCAAAGACTATGTTTTTATCATCTAAATATCCAATTGAAAATAGACCACAAGAAGATGTTACATTACTTCAATTTAAAAAATATTTTGAAAGTGTTAAAACACTTCCAATTTATCAACAAATTTCAGATTTTCATTTATTAGTATTTTGTTTAGATTATGGAGTGTTTAGTTCACTTCATTCTGTAAAAGAGTGTGTTGTGAATAAAATAGAGAAACATGATATTAAAGAAGATATAAAACAATGGCTTGAAATGCCTTTGGACTGATTTTAATTATTATAACAAAATAATTATTTAGTTTTTATTTTATTGTTTTTCTTTTTGTTTATTATTATAACAAAACTTTTTAATACTTTGCTAATTATAAATTACTGTTTAATTCTTCCCCCCTTCTTCCATAGACAATTTTTGTTTGAAGTTCTTCCATAGGAACCTCTTTTAAAATTGTCTCGTCAGAGGGCTCATGATATATTAATGGAGATACTTTTTTACAAATCTGACATTCACAAGTCAAATCATTGAGACTTATTTTAAATCCATTTGAACTTAATGTATTTAATAAACATGGAGTACATATTAAATGGTTTGACGTTGCCGGTGAACAGTGAATCCAATTTAGTCCTATTATGTTATTTTTTGGTTTACATAAACATGAAAAACACATCTCATTATCATCATCACTTTCAACCATTTCACAAACAGGTGCTAATTTACCTTGTTTAATTAATGAAATTACTTGATTAATTAAATTGTGGTCATTGTACCATGGAAGTTCTGTAATTTCTTTGAACCATGGTTCATTTACTTCTAACTTATAATTTTGAAGAAATTGGCTGTGTTCTCTTTTCTTTCTTTCGATATACTCTTTTGAACAGACTAATTTCATTGGATATTGAATGCATCCAATTAATAAATATAATCTCTCTATTTCTTTGTTTTGCATCCTTTAAATACTTAATGAGTTTGTTTATTATATTTATAGAACAAGTTCATTTCTGGTTATAATGATGTTTATTTTTTTAAATTTTTTTATTTTTGTTTTCTTGAAAACTTAAATTTTATTTTTTCTTATTTTGTTGATAATAAATATGAAACAAGCTGTTCATTTATGAAATATAACTACTGAGGTATTTATTAAGTAATGATAAAATAATAAATAAAATGTGTTATAAACGTGTATTTAATTATTTACGAATCTTATTTTAATCTTATATTTATTAAATTAAAATGGAATCGGTGATGAACAATCAATTAATTAAAGAAATAGTAGAAACACTTCCAAATATTCAACAATCAATTGATGATATTACTAAGCATTATCAATATTATTTAGGAAGTATTAAAAATGAAATATTTGAAATGAGGGATAATGAAACATATTCAGAAGCAATTAAAAGAGGAGAAGGGATATTTGATAGAATTGATGAAACAGAAAGAAGAAGAAGAATGGTGATAGAAAAAGGACAGAAACAATAAATAAAATAGAAATAATAAAGAATAAAATGGAAAAGATAATAGAAGATAATAAGGATGAAGAAATATTAAGTAAAACAAAGAATGAACTAATCAATAAAATCATTTCAATTGAAGAAATGAATATGAAAGATAAAATTAAGAAATTAGAAGAAGAAATTAACAATATTAAAACAAGATTTAATAAGAAGAAAGAAGAATGGAACAAATATTACAGTGGTTATTTAGAGATAAACAAGAAACAAGAAGAAGAAAAAGAAAAGAAGAAACAAGAAGAAGAGAAAAAAAGAAAAGAAGAAGAAAGATTACAAATAATGAGAGGAATGAATACAATAGAAGAAATTCAACAACTAGAAGAATGGACATCAAGAAAAGTGTCCAATGTACTTTTTGATTCAGATAATGATAATTGGAATCAGAACACAATAACATTTATTCAAAGACTGATAAATAAAGAACATATAATAATTATTAATGAAGATGAAAATGGAAATAAATTTGGAGGATATGTTAATTCTAAAATTGATAAAGTTGGTAGTTTTATAAATGATTCAAAATCATTTTTATTTTCATTAGAATCAAAAGGAAGAATAGAAGGAATGAAGAAATTTGATATTAAAGTACCACAATATGCATTTTGGTTATCTAATCAATCAAGTGAATATTTATTTTCATTTGGATATGGAAATGGATGGGATTTTATTATAGGTAAAGAACATAATAAAACAAAGTCATCTTGTAAACAGTGTTCGTTTGAATATAAAGGAATAAGAAATGCCCTTTGTGGAAATGAGTATCCAAATATTGGTTTCACACCAAAACGGTTCATTGTAATTGAAATGAAATGATTTTATCAAATATTGTTTATTTGAAATATAAAAACTAAAAAAGAATTAAAATCAAATCAATAATGAAATGATGAATATAAAAATGATCATATTTCATTCTTGTTTTATTTTATTTCAGATACTCACACTCATTGTGTTAATTAAATAATAATAATATGAAGAGAAATGAAAGAAAAAAAAATAAATAAAGAGAATAAATAAAAGAGATAAATGATTTACTTTAATAAACAAAAAAACATATATCAAATATTAAACTTGGTTAATCTAATGATTAATCATTGAATATTAAATATAAATATAAAACAATATGAAAATAAGTATTAATTTATTATTATTTTGTGTTCATAAATGTTAATGTATTTTACATGTTCTATTTATTACATTGTAAATAATAGATAACTTTGGGTTTGTTAATTCAGTATATTTTATTAATTACTAACACATTCTGTTCATTTGGAAGTTCTTTTACTCTTTTTATCATTTCATTTATATCACAATATGGTTGTGTAGTTCTTCTTTAATAAAGTTGTTTTCAAAAGATTCATAAATGGATAAACAACAAAACAATACACAAGAAAAGATAAATGGAACAATCAAAATGGAAAGTTAAGAATAGAAGAATATACAATAGATTAGAAAGAAGTGAAAAAGAGTGAAATTAAGATAATAAATGAGAGAATAATAATTAAGAGAAATTAACGAACAAAAGAAAAAGAAAAAGAATAGAGAAATAACTTTGAATAAACGAATGAAATATTAATCTATAAGTAAACATAAAGAATAAAAAATCATCAACAAACAATAAGAATGATAGAAACAATAAGATTGATTTTACTCATCTAAAGTATTCAAATTTGAGTATGACTTAAATAATAATATTCATTGTACTATACTAAAAAGAGAATTAAAAGAATAAGAAATGTAGTTTGAATGAAGAAATAAAGAAAATTAAAATAAGAAGATAAAAAGAAGAATTAAAAAAGTATCATTTTAAGATTATGAATAATTATAATATTGTAAATGAAAACAATTCATTTCTATTTAACAAATATCTACTGATGTTGATTAATTAAATAATAATACTATATTATTTAACAAATTAAAAGAATTGATTATGAGTGAATTAAACAAATAAAAAGAATATTTAAATAATGAGAAAAAAAAAGAATTTAAGTTAAAGTAATGTAACATAATTTGAAGGGAATTGACCAGTTTGTCCATTTAATTCACCAATCCACCAATCTCCTTCTTTAGATAATACTTTAATAATATCTCCTGTTTTAATACTTAATTCATTTGTTTCTTGTGCTGAATAATCATAATTAACTCTACACATATTATTATTTGTTTTAGGTTGTTGATTTATTGGTGTTGGTTGAGTAGTAGAATTTCCACATGGCACTTGATAAGTTTGTTGTGGTGGAATGTATTGATTTGGCATAGTATTTTGTTGTGATTGATTAAATGATTGTTGTTGTGGAATGTATGGTTGTGACATAATTGTTTGATTAATCATTGGACTATTGTATAATTGTATTCGACGTTGTTGAACATTTGTTTCTTTTTCCATTGAATCAGCTGGTGCTTTAATAACATATTCTAAGTTAATTCCATTACTAGGAAGATTTTCAATCTTCTTTGGAACCTCTTCCCAAATTTCATTCATTCCATTCATAACTTCAGTGAAATTAACCATTAATGCTCTAACAACAGGAAGTACAATACCTTGAAAATCTTTACATAATTTATTTGTATCTTCAATAAGTTCTTCTTTAAGCCATTCATATTTTTCTTTAGCATATGTAAAATCAGTTTGTGCATCTGCAAGTCCTTTTTGTCGATTTACTGCTTTCTTTGTAATTTCCATTAATCTTTCATTATAAAATTCCATATCTTCTTTTCTTTTCTCTGCAACTTTGCATCTTCCTAAGAGTTCTTTAAATTGTTGTCCATATGCTCTTAATGGTGTTATTAATTCATTCATTAAATTTTGATATCTTGTTGAATCTCTTTCCATCTTTTGGAAAACAGAAATCGTTTCAGTGATTTGATTCATCTTTTCTTCTTCTCCTTCAGATATTTGAACACATAAATGGAGTGAATTCAATACATTTAGATGTTTTCCTGAAATATTGCTGACTGTTTTAGGAAGTTCTTCAACATATGTGATTACTTTATTGAATTCATTTGAAATATCACTTAATTTCTTTTTCATACTTTCATATTCAGTGTCAATAGTCTTTTTATTGACTCCAAGAACACTTTTAATTGCAAAAAATGATCGACTAATACTACTCATGTTGTTCCTTTGTTTTTATCCTATTTGTAGTTCTTTTCCCTTTTTCACTTTTTCAATCTTGTTTTGATTTCTCACATTTTTCTTTTTTCTAATTCCTATTTAATTTTTATCCTTTTATCTTTTTTTATCACAGTACAATTCTTTCTATTCTTTCTCTCATTCATTCCCATCACTACAACATAATCTAAACACCTCTATACTGTTTGTAATTATCTTCTTATACATTCTAAAACTCTTTTATTTACTCAAAATTTATAAACGAATAATCCAAAAAACTCTATCTTGTAATCAAACAACACTCATAATCTTATTGTTAATATCAGAGATAATGTTTAATTTAAATTGTTTAAGAGATTGGTATTATTATTAATTATTTCTATTCATTTATTGTGTTGTATTGTGTTGTTATCTTATTAATAATAAATGAATGATTTATTAATAATTATGGTTTAATTGTTATTATTTCTCATATCAGTCATTGTGTTTTGAATACCTTATTTCATCTATTCAATTCTATTTAATTATCATTAAATGTTATCATTCTTTTTATTAACTATTAATTCATTTAAGTACGATTTTATCATATCTTTAATTAAAAGAACACATTTTATCTTTTTTATATAATGTGCAATAAAATAATATATCATTTTTCATACACAATGATAGTATTAAAGAATCATTGTAAAATATCACCTCATTCATTAAAAATACTCAACTTATTTTCCACCAAATTTGTTTTAATGAAGATAATGTTCATATACCTTTCTCTTTCTACATCAAAACAATTAAAAATCAGTGAACCTTATCATTCAATTTAAAAGAAAAGTCTATATAATAGAATGAACCAATCTTCAAGTATTTTAAGAATGACACATCATCATTTTTAGAAGAATTTTCATTTCATTCTTATTCATTTTTCTCTTTAATTTAACTTAAGAAAGAAGTAACTATAAAATAAATGAATGGTGAAGATTCACTGAAAATTTTAAGCTCCTTTCTTAAATATCTAGCGATTATACAAAGATTGAACAGAACAAAGTTGATCAAGAAACAGAGTTTAGATAATTAATGACTTTATAAACAAGCAAGAGATTATATATATTTTTAAGTCATCAAAAATTCTTCTATTTACGATTTAAAATATGATTTACACAAAATAAATTGATTATTTTTATGCATTGATAGTGCCAGTAACGTATTGTATCAAGACAGTACCAAAAATCATTTTGACCAGGTTCCTAAGGACTTCGTATATTAGAGTATTTAGTTAAACAACTAGTTGTTTTAACCAGACCAAAAACAAAGTTATTGTTTTTGTTTATTACTTAAGAATATGGTATAAAATGAATTTTTATTGGTTAGGAGTTAAGAAGTAAAACAAAAGAAAAGTTTAATTCATAAAAAATGACTTACTCGATAGGCTACTAGGTGTATGTGTTGAACTATTGAAACCCTTATATCGTCTAATGAAAAAACATAGGTTAATTATTTTAATGAATAAGTGGTAATAAATGTTAATTAATTAAAGACCGTTTGTCAATTATTCGAATTTGTTGTTCGAAGGGTTTAAAAAAAGATCGATTGGTAGTTGATCACTATCATCTGGTCCGTCTAACTGGTTGGACTGAGTGCAGTCAACAAAGAATAGTGTTAGTAATTTTTTTAAGTGTAATTATTTTTTTAAATCAGTGACTCTTTCCTTTTAGTTGTAGTTGAAGAGATAAAAAAAAAGATACTTATGGAACGGTGTTATGGTAACGGTAGTTAAATAATATAAGTAAATAAAATACTACCCATTACAATAAATTGCTTTAACAACAGAAACAAATAACTCGTCATCTGTCTTTCAATAATTTAGTTAATAATGAAGCACGAAGCTTCTTTATACTAAGAGAGAAGAAAATGGAAATAATAAACTTATTCCATATTGATTCTTCAGCAATATATTCACTAGAAAATATTGACAGAAATTTATTGGTCAAAAGACCTGTTGATAACATTGTCTTTTATATCAAAAAAGTGAAATATCAGAAAGATAAGATTTCAAGATGAAAACTACGCAATTATGTGTGATGGTTTTAAAAGCACTTAAACTATTAAAACCAGAGAATAAATTCTTCTCATTAAAGAATGTTATTAAAGAATTTATTACAAACCATTGGACATTTTATCTAAATTAAAATAATTTAAAACATCTTATTGGAGAAAAATATTATTAGACCTATTTAGTCATTGTAATTTAATTGAGTTTGGTAAGGATGGATGTCATAATAGATGATATTATAAATTAAAAAAATTATTCTAAACAACAGATAGTTTAACTTCTAAAAATATAAATCTGTGTGTACAGAAAGAAGAAAGAAAAAAAAAGAACCTTTAAAACAAGCAAAAAGTCATATTCAAACTATTGATTATAAGTATGAAATCCTTGCATCTATAAAAACTCTTCAACACTAAATTAATTATTCAAATAATCTTCTTGTAAATTGTATTATTCTATATGTAGTAAATCTTTGTAGTTGAGTTTCAGTCATTTATTGAATTGAAACTACTAACTACCATATTAACACATTGAATCAATTACAAGACCAAATGTTTCATTCAAAGTGGTTTTAATATTTTATTATAAATATACCTTTTATATTTGATTTTTCTGTTTTTTTGTTATTAAACTTTTCAAAATGTTTTTTCTTTTATTTCTCATTATTTTTAGATTATCGAATTGAATTTTCTCGAATTCTTCTTTTTTTGATAACAAATGAAATTGAATAATCAATTTTTATAATGCTTGATTATGTCATATGAAATTTGTACTATAAAAAGAATATAAATTCTAAAAAACATGAAATCAAATCTCATAAATTAGGAATAATGTTAAATTTTTTTAAATTCACCCCTTTTATCGTTAAACTTTTATAAACTTTTAGCCAAATTTATTTCGTCATATCTTCATAGATTCATATTGACTAACCCTTTTTTTACTAAAATTACAAATGGTTTAATACTACTCTAGATGTTCAAGATAAAGAATCATTCACCTCTTTTTTTTTAAAGACAATTAAAAAAAAATATTAACGATTTATGGGTTTTCTAAAAGGAATTTTTTTTTTATATATGAAATCGGTTTGTAGTTTAAGTAAAAAACAAAACATTTTTGTCTATAATTTTTTATAACCATATTTAACGATTTTATAAAATACTTGTAGTCATAAAATTATTCAAAATTATGAACTTTATATTCATTGTCCCATCAAAATTTAATGAGCCCTTTGGTTTTTTTATTATTAATCATTAAAAATGGGTTAACATTCAATTGTAGTGGTTCAGGATGTATTAATTGTATTGGAGATGAGTTGTGTGAGAAATGTAAAGATGGGTATGAACAAACAACAAGTTGCTTTAATTGTATGATTGTTAATCCTTTTCAAGCTTTTTCAGAATCAAATCCTCTTTATATGATGTTTAATTCTGAATGTCTTCAAGTAAGTACAGAACATATTAAGAGATATTGGGATCCAAGAGGGGCAGAAGAATTAACTAAAAATAAAGAAGTTCAATTTAAGATTATCAATACTATGATTCCTGCTTTTGGGATATGTGAAAATAAAGATACAAATAATAGATATAAATATGGTAAATATTTTCATTATACTATTCCTAAAAGTACTACAACACAAAACTATCTTAATGTTCTTGTCAAAAGTGATACTCCATCAGTAAATTTTAGAATTGAAATTACAACTGATGAATTTGATCCAAATAATTTAACTGACTCACCTAAATGTTTTGCACTTTATGTACTTGGAACATCAAAAACAACTGGATTTATTTCATTAAGAGTTCCACAAGAAGGAGGACATTATTATCTTTTTGTTGGAATGAAGAGAGGAGTTGATTGTACTTTAACTGTTTCAGTTGTAGATAATGAAATAATTAGTCCATATTATCAAGTAGAAGAAATTGATATTAACAATTATGAAGGAGAGATTTTGTCTCATACAATTGACTTTTCATCTATAGGGACTTATGATTATTCTGATTGTTCAAGTATTCCAACGGCATTAAAAATGATTAGGTTTCATTTAAAAGGAAAAATTAAACAAGGAATGAGGTTATCATTAGAAAGTACAAATGGAGATGGTCAAATTTTTGAACATTCTCTTTGTGAATCAAAATTTGGTCCTTGTAATTGTATTGAAGGATTCAGAACAAGAAGGGATATATGGTCATTAAATGGACAACATGGAAATATATTTTCTATTGATGAACATGATGAACTTGGATGGTTCTCATTATTTACAACAGATGTTTTTATGAAAACAACATTAGTTATGAAATATATTTGTCCAAATAATTGTAATCAAAATATTGGAGGAGGTCAATGTAGTACAATTCTTTCTCAATGTATTTGTACTGATGAAAGATATGGAGGAGATGATTGTCATTTATTATGTTATTCAAAAGAAAAATGGACTATATCTGATACTAATGGAAAGTGTAGATATGGAGTTGAAAATTGTGATACTTATTGTCAATGTCAAAATGATACAATTGCAGATCAATTCTATTGTGTAACTCAAGAATGTTGGAATTATAAAATAAAAAATGAAAGTTATAATGAAGATGTAACACTTTGTGAGAGAGGTTCTTCTCATTGTCTTCCTACTTGTCAATGTGAAAAAGGCTATTCATTAATTGAAGGATATTGTGTGAGTGATTTATGTGGAAATGGTATTTATGATATTGGAGAAGAATGTGATGAAAAAGGGTATTGTACAAAATTTTGTAGATGTGAAGATGGTTATGAACAAGACATTAATGATTTAACTCATTGTGTTCATAAAGCAATTTCAATGACTGAATTAATATCAGTTATAATTGGAAGTATAATTTTATTATTTGCTATTGTAATTATTTCAAGTAGTATTTTAGTACTTGTCTTTGCTAGAAATAATTATACAAGATTATCTGATATTCCATTTAATGAAAAACAACCATATTATTATATTGATAAAACATTATTAAAAGAGCAAAAAGAAATTAATGATTCTTATTTTCATTTTGATCATATAATAATTACATTTGGATTAAAAAATAAAAATATTAAATTAGAAGATACAAGATATGAAACATTTATTCTAAATAATACTTCAAATGAATTTATGTTATTTATTGTTCATGTTCCAAATTCTAGTAAATTTACCTTTTATTCTTATCCTCAAACTAAAATCCTTCTTCCGAAAACTAAACAAAAAATTATTTTATTTTTTACTGCTCATTGCACTACAACTATAGAAAATTATAGTCTTATTGTTAGTTGTTACCATTTTAATAATAAAGAAATTCTTTCTCAATTTGAAGAATTTATTAAAGATAAACATAATTTAGATGAAAAAGAATTTAAATTATATTATGAAATGGTAAATCAAATGAAATCTAATTATTGTAGCCTTATCATAAAAGGTGAAATCGAAACATCACTTATAATTGATCAAGACGAATTATTAATAAATCAAGGAATAATTGAAGGATCAAAGAGAAGACACCTTGGGTTATATCATAATATTCTCGTTTGTATTAAACAAATAAATTTAGGTTCTTATCAAAGTGAACAAAAACAAAAGTTAAAAGCATTATTTCAACGTTCAACAACACTTTTGAAGAATATTAGATCTCCTTATGTTGTATCAACAATTGGATATATTATGACTGAAGAAGCAATATCTATTATTAATGCACTTTATCCTCTTAGGAGTTTAGATTTATGTATGTATTATGAAAAAAGTAATATTGTATTACCATATAAATTAAAATTAAAAATAATGAGAGATGTTGAATGTGGTTTACATTATCTTCATGAATCAAAATTACTTCATAATAACCTTAAACCATCAAATATTATTCTTAATTCTCTTTTTGATACAACAAATACAGTTGCTTTAATTACTGATTATCGTGTAACAAAAGAACTTAGTGAAGAAATGGAAAATTTTGGTTATTTTATTGGAAATCCAAAATACGATGCTCCAGAATTATATAATAATATCTTTGTTCCTGAGAGTGATGTATTTTCTTTCTCTATTGTATTTTGGGAATTATTTTATGGAGTTCATGCTTTTAGTGATTTAAAAACAACATACGAAATTAAATCTTCTATAATAGCTGGAAAACGTCCAGAATTGAAATCACCTATGCCACAAGAATTACAAAATCTACTCAAACAATGTTGGAATGATGATTATCATGAAAGACCATTATTTAATATTATTAATCCACAACTAACTAAACTAATTGATTCTAGTGAACAACATCAAGATCTAGATATTAATGTAACTACACAAAAAATAAAAGATGTATTTGAAGAAAATATACATATATTTGAAAAACATGGAAAGAAAAAAACAATGATTTCTTTCACTGAATATCAAAAAACTGAAGAAAAGTAATAATTTATTGTTTTTTATTATCATATCATTATCATTCTTATTTATAAGAATTTTATTCCTTTCTCAATTGTGATTAACTCTTTTGTGTTTTATCACTTTCTTTCTTACCTTTTTAAATAACATCAAAAAGTTAATTTCTTATCATTCTATGATTGCACCTCTCTTTATATTCATATGGTTCGATTTTACTATTGCTTGCTCATCTAGATTTCCTATTGTTCTTGTTCCTGCTTTCATGTCTTCTTCTCTTCATATAAAATCAAATATCCCACCATCAGTTCAATTACCTCCTCATTGTCCTCATCAATTAGAAGGACAAATTTGGTTGAATTTAAAAGATGGGATTCCACTAAACAATACTCAGTGTTTCTTTAAATATTTTACTCCATTTTGGAATAACTCAAATAAACGTTTTGAATCACTCGATGGAGTTCAAATATATTACAAAGATTTTCCATCTATTGAAGGTATTTCTTCATTAGGACCAAAAGAAGAGCCAATTGTCCAAAGAGTATTACGAGTTTGGTATAAAATGATTCAACAACTTAAAAGAATTGGTTATAAAGACAAAAAATCGTTGTTTGGACTTGGGTATGATTGGAGATATGCTGATGTTAATTATAATAATTGGTCAAAAAAAGTGAAAGAAGTCATTGAATCAGCTTATATTCTTAACAATAAAAAAGTTATGATTGTTACACATAGTTTGGGTGGTCCAATGACTTTGCAATTACTTTTCCAATTGGGTAATTCTTTTTGTGAGAAGTATATTGAAAAAATTATTACTATCTCAGCTCCATTTATTGGAACAATAAAAGCATTAAGATCTTTTTTATCAGGAGAAACAGAAGGTGTCCCAGTTAATCCACTATTATTTAGAGACTTTGAAAGAAATATAGATAGTGTTTATCAATTAATGCCAAATTATCAATGGTGGAATGACACAATTCTTATCTTTAATGGAACATCATATCCAGCTTCTCAAATGAATCAAATACTAAACCTTATAAATGAAACAAAGAACTACGCATCTTTTGTTTATACAAATGCTATGAACAGATATCCAATAAATTGGATTCCTAAAGTTAAATTACATTGTCTATATTCTTCTGGAATTGAAACAGAAATCCTACTGAACTATTCTACTTCTTTTGATAATCAACCTATTCAAACTTTTGGTGATGGTGATGGAACTGTTTCCTTAAATTCGCTATCGTTTTGTAAAACAATGAATTTAGGAGAAAGTATTAATATAGGGAAATACGACCATTTTGGTATTATTAAAGCTCAGAAAACTATCGATTATATTATTGAACAAAGTTGTAAAACAACTTAAATCTTTTTCTTTCCCTTTTTGTTTATTGTTTATGATTATATTAAATATAAGCGTTTTATATAACATAAGAAAGATTTTTTTGATATTTTGAGAATAAAAAATTAAAATTAAAAATCTGAAAAATTTGAGTAATATGATAGAAGTAAAAGACAAACCTACTTCCTTGTCAGATTTAAATGAAGAAACTATCTTAAAAAAAACTTTATTGAAAGAAATTGATAACCTGTATCACAAGAAAGAGGTTGAGCCAGCTATTCTTTCAGATACTGAGAATATCAAAACAATTGTTAAACACTATGAAAAACAAGTTGACAGTATTATGGAACATGTTCTTCCTGTATTAGAAAAACGATTCCGATTAAAACCAATGTTAATTGATCGATATGGAGAGACACATCGTCAAGATGTATTAAGACTATTTGTTCATTACAACAAATCTTATTTTCAATTTATTGAACATCCATTAGGAAATGTCAAATATTTATATCTCGAACTTTTTAAGTCATATGATTTTACTGAAAGAAAATGTTATTATGGAGTTATTTTTGTATTAAAATATATGATGATTCTTGATTTAATGAGGAAGAATATGATTATTGGAAATGTAAGATTATTCAGAAGCACAACAAAATTTGTTAGTAGTATTGAAATAGTAAAACAAACAATTGAATTAGCATTTGAAACTCCATTACATGTTTATGACACTCTATGTAATTTTGGTTATTCTTTGACACAAGTACAATATCCTCAATATTGCATTCAATATAAATTAAATAGTTTAGATGATTTTATTTCAAGTGGAATTCAATTGAGTGTGTTAGCAACTTATCTTGCTGATCAGAGATTAGGTATAACATCAAATATTATTAACTCTCTAGTACTTGATAATGATCAATTATTAACTCGAAGACAAGCTACTTCAAATATTAATCATTTAGTCGGATTTCTAAATACACTTGGAATGCCATTTAAAATTGGAGAAATTGCGTTTTATGATTATTCTATATACGAGAGAGAAGATACTGTAGTTTCATTATTTTTATTTGAATTCCTTCGTGTATTTCAATGTCAATTGGTCATTCCAATTCATGTTGTATGTAATGAAATTAGTAGGATAGGTGAAACTAAAATTTCATTGAGTTCATCAAATGATATGTACGAAGCATGGGTTAGTGTTATTGGAAATTGTTACAATAAAGTATTTACTTATAATGAATTTGAATATTTCTTACCATATCTTTATATAGTATGTTATTATAGCCATTTGTCAATTCCTACTTTATCACATAAAGGAGATGGAGAAAAAAGAAGAATTGAAATTATAAAGGCAATGCAACCTGGTTTAGAAATACTTAATATTCCTAAACGAATATTTACAGATAAAATAAACAATTATGGAGATAAGACTGTTACTAATTATATTCTCTCATTTTTGTTTTATTTTATTCAAAAGAATGCATTAATTGATTGTGCTGCTAACTCAATTGGAAATGCATTAAAAAAGTGTGTTGAAAGAAAAAAAATGAAGAAAGGGATGTTATTTATTTCATCAATATTTAATACAATTAATATCATAAAAGGAAAAGAAGATGAATACTCTTATAATCAAGTTATTACAGGAACTCATTTGATTCAACAAAATCATATTAAAGTCTTGTATGAAGAAGAAATTAAACAAACAAAAGAAGTTCAATGTATTATGAAAAAACTATTATTACAAAAACAAATGAAAGGAATTTGGATCCATGTTAAAGGAGTACAAAGTATTTGTAGACAATATGTTATTCAAAACGAAAATAACAAACTAGAAAGAGAAATAAAAGAAATACAAAGTATTTATAAAACAATTAATACTAATGCGTATTACAACCAAATCCTAGAAAGTTGTTTAACCACTCAATCAAATGGCAGAGAAATGGAAAAAAGTCAAACTTGGAAAGAACAGATTGAAAGTAATAAAACAGCTCAAAAAGAAATGAGGCGTTGTGTTGATGAAATGAAATATGCAAGAACTGTTGAAGGAACTAAATCTTTCGAAAGAGTGTTTAAAGAAGAAATTTATAAAAGAGAATTTAATGAACAAATTAACAGCAATGAATTGGTTCAAAGTATTTTGAGAAGAAATCAATGGTTTATGGATTATGAAAGAATTGTTAATAGTTGTATTGAGACACAAAAAAATGCAAAAAGAATTATTTATTGCACAAAATATGAAGAAATTTGCCACTCATCGACTAATGTAGCAGATGCATTAAAACAAATACTACACTCTTCTGAATATGGATTTATAAAACGAGTATGTCCATTTGTACAAAGTTATTATAGAAGTTTAATTCAAACCAAACAGATGAAAGAACGAATCAATAGTTGTATTCCATTAGAAGGATTGTTTAGAGGAATTAAAGGGTATTACAATTATTCATTAATAATTCAAAGTAGTGTTGATACTCAAAAAGAAATTCGAAGAACAATAAAACAAAATAAATATCAAGAAATTATTACTTCTGAACAAATAATTTGTTCAGTATTAAGAGAAAAGAGAGATCATCTGAAATATTCAAATCTTCAAGAACAATGTCAAATAGTCCAAGGACTATGTAGAAGACGAATTTTTAAAGAACAATTTGATTGTGTCAATACTCAAACTAGTTTAGTTCAAAGTGAAATGAAAAGAATTATTAAAAACAGAGTATTTAAAGAAATAGAACAAGTATCTAAAGAGATGAGTGCATTTATTAAAACGTATTCTATCACTTTAGAATTTATGATAAGAGTTAAAATGGGAGAAGAAATTCAAGCTGTTATTAAAGGGAATAAAATTTTACACAAATATCTTGCAATTGTTGAAAATATAAAAGAACCACAAAGTATTTGTAAACAAATTGTTTATACAAATAAAATGAAAGATCTGATTAATGGAATTAAATATATCCAACAACATCACTACTTTGAAGAAATAAAAATACAATGTATTAATGTACAATCAGTTATGAGAAGAATTTATATTCCACAGTTTAAAGAAAATCAGTTATGTTGTGAAAATGTTGAACGCATTTGGAGATGTGAAATAAAACAAAGACAATTTAACAAACAAAGAAATAGTATTATTCAATGTCAAAGATGTGGAAAAGAAACATTAAAAAGAAAAGAATATATCCAAATTATTCGAGCAAATGAAATTGTTCAAAGCTATTGGAGAAAGGTTATACAAAAACATGAACAAGAAGAAAGAGAATATTATTGCAGTGAAATACAAGGAATAATGAGAAGTATTATTGTTAAAAAAGATAAAGAACATGAACTAAGTAAATGGTATCAAAATTGTCAATATAAAAGATGTCTCACTAAGTGTTGTATTCCTTTACAAGGGATTTGTAGACAAACTATTGTAAAATATGGAGTTAATTTAGATGAAGAAGTAATGCAATCTCTGTCATACTCTTGTGAATTATATACTTTAATTCATAGTTCAGTACCTCTTAATGAAAAACAAAAAAAACAAAAAAGAATATCCGAATCACCTAGTAAAATATTACAGTCACCTTCACAAAGAATATTACCAAAAGAAATTATTATGAATTCAATTTATTTAAATAAAACTACGAGAATGTCATTTAATAGATTAGAATATAGCAAACGTATATTATATGAATATATCAGAAAATCAGAAAGAAGTATTATTGATATTGCATTTTCTAATATTAGAATGATTGAGAGAAAAAAATTAGAAGAAGTACAGATTGGAGCAAAACAATTATTTGAACAAATTAGATGTAGCGAATGGTTTAGAGTTATGTTTGTAAAATATCAATGTGTTTATCATATTCTTGATTTATTAAAAAGCAGTAATAAATCTCCACCTTATCTTGAATTAGTAGAAAAATCATGTACGATGCTTCACTTTTTAATTCGTGATGATTGTTCTTTCAAATTATATAATAATCCTAATATGATAAAATCTACTATTGAAAGAGTATCAGAAATTTTAAGAAATTTTATGGAGATAAAAATCTTAACAGAAGGAACTAAAGTATTTCTTTGTCTTATTCAAAAACTTCCTGAAATAAAAACCTCTTTAATTGATGTTTGTCAACGGCTTAATACTAAATTAACAGAAATAGAACAAAAAGAAAAACTAGAAAAAAAGAAAGCGATGGACATTTCTGTTAAATTAAAAAAGGAATGCATTTATGAAGCAGCTTCACCACATATTAAAATATTAGTAGCTAAAGTAATTGGAAAATAAAAGAAATTAGATAATAAAAAAATTAATTTTATTTTAATAGAAATGTTTATTATAAAAAAGTTAAATAAAAAAAAAGGAGAGATGAACTAATAGATTTGAAAAATAATGGAATGCCTTATATGTGGGAAAAGTACTGAACAAACTCCAAGTGTTGTTATTGAAAACAAAACAACATTTGTTCATAAAGGTTGTTTTAGGTGTTCAGTATGTGGATGTCGATTAGACGGATATTTAATTAAAAACCATGATTTATGTTGTGTTGATTGTTACCAAAATCGTACTGTCAATGAAACGTGTCAAAAATGTGGAAAAATTATAACAGGAAAAATTGCAAGAGTTGATGGTAAATCATGGCACCCTCATTGTTTTATTTGTTCTATTTGTAATAAACCAATTGAAGGAGATTTTATTGAAAAAGACCAACAACATATTTGTCTAAAGTGTCATCGTAATGAAATCCAAATGAAACCAATTTCACCTTCCCAAGACTCAACAAACTCATCTACAGAACTAAACACTTTTAGTGTAAGAACAGAAACAGGTGATGAAAAAAATGAAACCCAATAATATCATAAAAACATTGAACCAAAAATTAAAACAAAACTAAATTTCACTTACTACAAAAAAGGTCTTTCAATTTTTTGTTTTGTTTGGATTTTTTTTTTCAGAAGTATGTTTTAAAAGTTTAACTTTGAAATTTACTCTTTACTTATTTTATGGGGGAACAACAATCTATACCAATTGTCACTGACCAAACTAAAACTTATTTAGATATTAGTAATCAATTACTTCCTGAAGCACCAAACCTTAGTCAATTTCCTGGATTAAAAAATTTAAATTTATCACATAACCAAATGACATCAATTGACTCTTTGGTAACACTATTAAATTTAACTAAATTAGATGTTAGGAATAATGAATTAGAATTACTTCCCGATTTGTTATATATTAATTTAACTCAATTACAAGATTTACAGGTAGAAAGTAATCAACTTCGTGTCCTTTCTCCATTAATTTGTTTTCTCACTTCATTGGTTAATCTGAATTTATCAAGAAATAAATTAGAACAAGTCCCAGATCCAATTAGTTCATGTCATGAATTAACTTTATTAAATATAAGTTTTAATTCATTAAGAAATATTCCACCAACAATTATAGAATTACCTCAATTAAAAGCATTAATTTTAAATAATAATAACATTAACACTATTCCAAAAGGTATTGGAAAATGTACAGGACTAACTCTATTAAATCTTGGAGAAAATGAGATGAAAGAAGTACCTGATTATATTAAGACATGTACTAATTTAGTTAAATTATATCTGGACAATAATGATATTAGAAAAGTTACACCTTCTATTTCAAACTTAGTTTCATTAAAAGAACTTAATCTTAGATCGAATGGCTTACAAAGACTTCCTATTGATCTTACTAATCTTACTAATCTTAATATGTGTGATATTGGTGATAATCAATTCAATGATAAGTTCTTTGATACAGAACCAAGTATACCAAATTTATTTAAATATTTATCAACACACTCTTTTGTTTCTCTAACAAGAAAAGTTGCCTCTAAGACTGATAGAAGAAAACAAAGTCTTCAAACCCAATTAAAGATAAATCAAAGTAGTAAGAAAAAGGTATTTAAAGAAGATGATATTTACATAAAGAAATTATTATTAAGAGTTAGTGAGAATGATGATTTTACTTATTGTAGAATAGTCAATTGTAAAGGAACAGAAATTAATCATAATGACGCATATATTTATGATGACCTTAAATACATTTATGTTTGGGTTGGTAAAAAGTGTAACGATTTTAAAAAGGCTAAAGCCAAATCTGTTGCTTCGTTACTTAGTCAAGAAGAGTTAAGTGAGATCATTTATATTGATTACACTGAACAAAAGAATGTCCATGATACTTTTCTTAATATTTTTAATATTGATTCATTTGATGAAAATACCTATGACAATGAAGCTGTATTCGTTCAATACATTAATTCATTAAAAACATTCACATTTGAAGACAACGATATTGAAGTTGTTGTAGATGAAGTTCATGATGAAGTTTTGACTTCTGAATTGTTACAGTCATCACGCTCACTTTTGATTGATACAGGTATTGATGTTTTTGTGTGGTGTGGACAATATAGTGATAACAATGAAAGAAATACTGCGTTGTTACAAGCAGAGTCATTACTCAGCTCAAGTGGAAGAAGAAAAGAGTTACTAAATTTCGTTCTTGAAGGAAATGAAACTTTAATATTCAAAGAATATTTCCATGACTTAGCTGTTAAAGATGACATAGTTACTTCTAACACTAATGATTTATCTGACGTTCTTCGATCCCCCTCACCATCTTCTTCTCGTTCTTCTCATATCAGAAGAACTTCTGGAAGTCATTTACTAAATTCAACTGACTTTTCGTCAAGAAGTCCATCACCATCTCCATTGCAAACACCTAGAGTATTACCAAAAGAAGTTCAAGAAAAACCATATATTCAAGAAAGTCAAAAAGTTCCAGAAAAAACTTCTGTCAAAGATAAAGAAGAATTAAAAGTCAGTATTATAGGTCAAGTTACTAAGGAAGAAACAAAGCCAAAAGAAGACATTGAAACTAACACTGTTGATAAAAAGGTTGAGCACATTGATAATGAAAAACATGAACAAACTAGTTCATCTGTAAAACCAATAGCAAAAGAAAATGTAACACAACTACCCATAACAACAGAAAAGAATATAGAAACCAAAAAAGAAATAAAAGACATAACACAGAATGATAAAGACAAAATTAAAAAAGCATCTAAAAAAGAGAAAGAAAGTACAGAACCATTAAAGGGAAATAATGAATCAACAACAAATCAAAAGAATTTGGATCAAATAGTTAATGAAGAAGATACTCAATTAATAAAAGTACCAAGAAGAACTGTCGTAAAGAAACGAGCAGCCGCAAGTAAAAATATTACTCAATTACAAAAAGACATTGGTGCAAAAACTGAGTTAGAAGAAAAGAAGAAAGAACAACCAAAACAAATTTCGTTTGATGATATTCTTCAACAACGAGAAAAGTTTGTAGCAAAAAGAAATCAACAAAATATTAAAACTGAAGAAGATTACATTAACGCAGCAAATTCAATTACAGGCAATCCATTAGATCTTCCAAGATTATTCCAAATTAAAGGACAAAAACGACCATTTGTTAGACAAGTTGAATGTACTTGGAAAAGTATGAATTCAGGAGACGCTTTTGTATATGACCCAGGAAAAGGGACTAAAGTTATTTACCATTGGCAAGGAAAGAAAAGTAATAGAATGGAGAAAGGAAAAGCTATGGATATTGCTAAAAGGATCAAAGACAAAGAACGTGTTGGATGTAGTCAAGTACTTATTGAAGAAGGAAAAGAACCAGAAGCTTTTTGGAAAGGGTTACAAGGCCCACCAACGCATCCGATACCTGAAGATGATGGAAAGATTGATACTGAAGTTGAAGTTCAAATTATTCAAAGAATTTGTTTATATTGGTTGAAATATGATGAAAGTACTGAAGAAGTTATTATGGAGAAAACTGTGGATATAAAGAATCATATATCCAAAGGGTTATTAGATGTGACTCAATGTTATTTATTAGACTGTGAAAATGAAATGTTTTTATGGTTAGGAAATAAGTGTCAAGTAAAAGTTAGACAACGCATTAATAAATTTATTGAATCGATGTATAAAGAAAGAAAAAGCCTTGGGTGGATGGCACCATTATACAAAGAATATCCAGGAGGGGAAGAAGTTATGTTTAAAGAACGTTTTTATGATTGGAACACATTACCAATAGGGAGTAAAGAAGATGTATCAAGTGGCAAAGGAATTGTTTATAAAAAGAGTCAAGGAATGACTAGTGAAGTTGATTTTAATAAAATGATGTTACCTGCTACAGAGAAAACAGAGGTTAAGATTGATGATGGTAAAGGAGATACTCAAATATGGAAAATTGATGGATTTAATAAAATAGAAATTAAGCCTGAAGAAAAAGGAGTGTTGTTTGAAGCAGAAAGTTATATTATTCTCTATCATTATAAGATTTGGGCAAAAGACATGTACTTATTGTATTTTTGGCAAGGAAGAAGTTGTGCTGTTATTGATAAAGGAACAAGTGCACGACTAACGGTTGATTTTCATAAGACATTAAAGAGTGATACAAAAGAGATGAGAGTTGTTCAAAATGTTGAGACAAGACATTTCCTTTCAATGTTTAATAATTCTTTAATAATTAGACAAGGAAAATATAAAAAAGAATTCGATTATAACAAAAAGTACTTATTTGACATTAGGGGAAAAGAAGAACCTTTTATCAAAGCTATAGAAGTTGATGTACAACCAAATGCATTATGCAGTTATGGTGTATTTATTTTATTAACTCCAAAAACAAAATTTATTTGGAAAGGAAAATTTAGAAATGAAAAATACGTTGAGTTTGCTGTTGGTCTTGGAAAAGTCCACCAATTTATGGAAAGAGAGCAGTGTGTTGAGATTGAAGAAGGTAGTGAAAGTGAAGAGTTTATTCAGGCTATTGGAGGAAAATGTGAAATCGATCAACCAAGTCAGATGTATGTTGATAGACTTTACCAATTATCTACTACAAGTGGTGCTTTAAGGTGTGAAGAACATGTAAGGTTTTATCAAGACGATTTGTATTCAAATGATGTAATGCTCTTAGACACAATTGATGGATTATATGTTTGGTTAGGAAGTAAGTGTTCTGCTAATACTAAGAAGATGTCATTAAATACAGCACTAGAATTTGTAAAGAAAGGTAAAACACCTGAATTACAGAAAAGAATTGTTTATGCTATTCAGGATAAAAAAGAACCATATCTTTTCACTAAATATTTCCAAGGATGGCAAAAGACTAAAAACCAAGAATGCTCAATAAAAGGAAACATTTTGTTAGCTGAAGAAGAGTACAAAAAATTCTTTATTAAATATTCATATGACGATCTTGTTAATAAGAAATTCCCAAAAGGAATTGATGAACAAGCTTTAGAAACTTATCTCACTGATGATGAATTTGCCAAAGTGTTTCATATGTCTCTAGATCAATTTAATGCCTTACCTCTTTGGAAAAGAGAGAACTTAAAAAAAGCAAAGAAGCTTTATTAAATCTCATCATTCATTACTTATTTTCGTTTTGTTTTTGTCAGTTTTCTGAAAACAAATTCTTCAAAATGAACAATAATTCAGAAGAAAGTTTTATTAAAAATCATTTCAAGATTTTGTTGATACACTAAAAAAAAAAGATTCTAAATGTTCCTCCATTTTTGGTTATATAAAAAGCCAAAATGTAAAAGACGTTTAAAAAACAAGTCAAAGAAATTACAAAAAATAAATTATGAGATTTAATAGACGACGAACTTGAAAAGTAAAAGTATGTCAGACGAAGAGATCAGGAAACAAGAAGAAGAGCTCAAAAGATTACAAGAAGAAATGGACAAAGAGGAAGCTGAGATGAAACAAATGGAAGAAGAAATCCGCCAACAAGAAGAGGCTATTCGAATAGAAGAAGAAAGGCTTCAAAAAGAAATTGAAGAAGAAGAGCGAAAAGCAAGAGAAGAAGAGGAGAGACATAGACTAAAGGTAGAACAACTTCAAAAAGAAACTGAAGAAGAAGAAAGAAAAGCAAGAGAAGAAGCAGAGAGACTGAAAAAAGAAGCAGAGAGAAAAGCAAGAGAAGAAGCAGAGAGAAAAGCAAGAGAAGAAGCAGAGAGAAAAGCAAAAGAAGAAGCAGAGAGAAAAGCAAGAGAAGAAGCAGAAAGAAAAGCAAAAGAAGAAGCAGAAAGAAAAGCAAAAGAAGAAGCAGAAAGAAAAGCAAGAGAAGAAGCAGAAAGAAAAGCAAGAGAAGAAGCAGAAAGAAAAGCAAAAGAAGAAGCAGAAAGAAAAGCAAAAGAAGAAGCAGAAAGAAAAGCAAGAGAGGAAGAAGAAAGAAAAGCAAGAGAAGAAGCAGAAAGAAAAGCAAGAGAGGAAGAAGAGAAAATTAAATTAGAAGAAGAAAGATTTAGAAAAGAAAGTGAAGAAGAAGAAAGAAAAATGAGAGAAGAAGAAGAAAGGTTAAATAAAGAAGCTGAAAAACTTCAAAAAGAACTTGAAGAAGAAAGAGAATCAAAAGAAGAATTCATTCCACTTGATGAAGGAGAAAAGAAAGACACATTAAATATTGATTCATTGTGTGAAGGACTACCTGCAAATCCAAATGTAGTTAGAAGAATAAAGGCTAGAGGAAAGACTCATGTTGGAAAAGCAGGTATTTATGGTAATCTAAAGAAAGAAGATATGAAAACTGAGTACATTGAACCAGAAACAAAACCAACACAACCAGAAGTTGGTAAAGGATTTACTATTACTATGAATGGAGGAAGTAAATTACCAACAAAAATGAATCCATTAATGGCTGAGGTACAAGCAAAGAGGGCAGCAAAAGTTGGGAGGGCTTCCTTTTCAGTAAAACCATCAATTATTTCAAAACCAGAACTTAAAAAAGTAAGTCCCTCTACGTCTCCAGGACTTGCAGATGATTCCTTTCTTGCCCAACAAACATTTTCTAATGAGGTAGATGGAATGAACACATCAATGAATTATGAAAAGATGGTAAGGGTTAGTGGTAAGTTTTTTATGAAGTGGAGAATAATTGAACTAAAACCAGAATACCTAAATAGTGGAGATGTTTTTATTATTGACAAGGTGGATAAAATTTATGTTTGGATTGGAAAAGATTCTTCTAGATTGAAGAGAACAAAAGTTTGTGATGCAGCAAATACAATTAAACATGACGAAAGACAAGGAAGGTGTGAAATTATTCAAGTTAATCAAGGCAAAGAAGATGAAGAATTTTGGAAAGCCCTTGGAGGAAAGAATGACAATATTGTTAAAGCAGAACCAAATCAAGATGATCTTGAAGATAAAGATTGTACAGATGAGTTATATCTTCTTGGAGAGAAAAAAGATAATTGGGATGAAGCTGAAATTGTTAACTGTAGCAAAGGAAAAATGGCTCATAATATTTTATTACCATGGAAAGTTTATGTTTATGATGGTGGAAATGATGTATACCTTTGGATTGGTACTAAGGCATCTTCTACATTAAGAAAGAGTGCTAAAGTTGTTGCACAACAAATTTTTGATAAGAAACAACGATCCCCAATTGCCCAATTGATTCGTATTACACAGCAAACTGAACCTGTCATTTTTAAGGAGAAATTTGCTGCAACCCAAGGAAGTGTTGAAACAGTACATAACCCTGATTGTAGTTATACAGAGGCTGAGTTAAATCAATCAAGAGATCGAGCTGCAACTGTTAGTTTATCTAGACCAACAAAACCTTTAATTAAACCAGTACCTAAATGGAATGTACCAGTAGAGGAAGAGAAAATGACATTTGATATAAGAGAATTATTAGGTATTCCTGATGATTCTATTGTTCTTCAACCATCAAAAGATTTCATCATTCAAGGAGGAACAATTAAAGTATATGTTATTGTTGATACACAAAAAGAGGCTATTCCAGAAAGCATGTATGGTGAATTTTATAGTGAGAATGATTACATTATCGATTATAAAGATCCTAAAGAAGAAATTAAATTCTTCTATTGGCAAGGTAAACACACTTCTATAAAAAGTAAAGGAAAAACATCTATGTTGGTCAGTGATTTAAGTAAAAAAAAAGGAGCTAGCACTATTCGTGTGCCTCAAGGAGAAGAGCCACATGCATTTATGCAATTGTTTGAAGATAAATACCTTATTCATATTGGAAACTATTTTGATCGTGAGAAGCATCAAGCCACAGAGAGAATATATCAAGTGAGTAATACTATGTTTGAGAATACATGTGAATATACCGTTCAACGTGAGTTTAATAAAGAGTTTATTAACTCATCTTGTTCTTATATTTATGTAAATACAGAAGGAGTAAAAATTTGGAAAGGAAAATATGCAAATGAAAATAACAGAAAAGTTGCTGAAGAAGCTGCTAAAAGAATTGACCAACGACCTGCAACAATTTTAGATGAAAAAGATGGTAAAATTTTGTTTAATGAGGTCAAACATTTTGATAATAATTATACAGTAGTTATGCCAAAATCATATCATTTAATATTAGAGAAGATGCATGTAAAAACAAAACAAAATACATTCTTTACTTGTCAACGATTTAAAGAACCAACATTATTAACTTGTGAAAAAGGTATTTATTTAATGGTAACTCAATTGAAGAAAGATTGTATTATGCCATATCTTAACACTGTTCATGAGTACTTAGAAAAGTTAAATGGAAAATATTGTGGAATAGATGTTCCTGAAGTTTATGTTATCCACTCTTTAAAACATATCCCAAAGGAGGTAGTTACTATAATACATGGATTTGAAAAAAGTTCATTAAAAGAAATGGATATTGAAAACGATCCTCAAAATATTATTACATTTAAGGATCTTTGGAATATTATTAATAAAAAATATACCTATGAAGAATTACTTCAACGACCAATTTATTTGGATAAAACCAAATTGGAAACGTATTTAAGTGATGAAGAATTTGCTAAAGTCTTCAAACGCTCTCGTTCAGATTACAATAAAATGAAAAAATTTGAAAAAGAACAATTGAAAAAACAACATAAATTGTTCTAAAGAGAAATTTATCAAATAAGTATTGAAAACTCCATTTCATTTATTTCTTTCTCATTTTATCCTTCTATTTATTTTTTTTAAATATAAAATTTATAACTATTATTATTTGTTGGGTATTGAATAAAATACAAATTTAAGATATTCAATTACATTTGATGATTGCTTTTTCTAATAATGTTGCTGTTACAGTTAAGAAAGATAGTGATGAAGTTTTGGTTGATAGTCCAGTTATAAAGTCTCTTACAAATATATATTCTCTTCTAAAATATTTATTTGGTAGAATACTTACTAGGGTAGATATAATGCTTATTACTTGGTGTATTATTTGTTTATAATTTTTAGAGTTTAGTAAAGGAAGTAATGCCAGTTGCTCAGAGTATTGATCAATCATTTCATTTAATTCACTTTGATTAATTGTTTGTATTTCAGTTAAATATGCCTTCTCAAAAACTTCTTTTTTTTTCTTATTTAATTTTTCTTTTCCTATTCTTATTTTAGCTCGTTTTTTTGGTTTATTCTTTGAAAGAAGACCTGAACTTAGGGGATTTATAATTTCTTTACTTTCACCTTCTTGTTCAGAACTTGACTCTTCATTTACACTATTACCTTCTGAAATTAAACTATCACTTGATTGAATGGATTCATTATTTTTATTATATTTCTTTGTTCCTTTTTGGTTATCATTTTCTTCTGAATATGACATTTCTTGTTCTCCTGAATCAGTTTTATTTTCATCTTCAACTTCAGGTCTATCTTCAGAATGTTTATTTTCAAATATCTCTTCCATAGGTTGTTGTATATTTTGATTAGTTACAACATCTACTTTATTAATTTGTTTGAATGAATCAAGTTGATTTATTCTTTCTAACTGAGCTAATTTTTCTATTTTCATTACTATCCAACAAATATCTTTGATTGCACTTTGTATC